GCACCTGATGTGGCTTCGTTGAGGGTGATGACTTGGGCAAAGTCGACGTGCTGGTAGAGCGAGAACTGCAGGGCGGGCGTGATGTCGTCGGAATGGTCGTGATCATGATTGTGGCCGTGGTGGTCGTGGCCACCGCTGCCGGCGTGCTCGTCATGGCAATGGTGGGACATTTCGACAGCAATCCAAATACAGTCCTAGACCAGGAATTCTGTGAGCTGAAGTCAGGCGTGACGTTGTGAGTGTTGTATTGTCGTCATCTGAATTGCCAAAGAGGTATAACGTCCGTTTCAGAAGCTCTCATTCGAGGGGTAGCTCGAGCCGACGCTTAGTGCACATGGCAGGTGCATTTAGAGTGCTAGATTTAGCGGGTCGCGCCTACCATTTAGACAGCTTTAGTGGCCAATGCCTGCACTGCATTTTCTGCAGCCTAGACAGCCTCAAAACGACGGCTGAGAGTCTGCCGCAAAATAGCTTCTAGATCTTCTTTCGACTTCAAGAACATAGCCCAGCTCACCACGTCCGCCCTTCTGAGCTCATTTTACGCCGTCTCTACTCTCTCGCATCATGGATGCGACACGCTCTACTACACATATTTCCCAATTCCCACTGCGGTGGCTATAGCCGGCTCTCCATCGCGTTTCTGGCTCTCATCACGCGATCTCCGGATCGTCTCTCCTCACCCCTTCTCTCACACAACCATTCGCGATGCTGCTCCCCAGAATACCGGGGATGGCCTTGCGAAGGCCGGCTGGAAGGCGCATTTGTGCGAGGTGCTTGGCGTTACAGAGTGCCGGCTTTGTGACCGGGCCAACCACATCCCCATCCCAGGGCCAAGCCATTCAATCATCCTCCTCCGAGACCCCGACAACGGCGTCAGCATCCATACCGCTGGACCGGCCAAAGGGTCCTAAGCGGGGAAAGACTGCAAAGCCGCCACAGCCAGGGCCTCTGAAGCCGCCATGGCCGGATTCCAATCCAGACGCAGGGCCACAACGGCGCAAGATCTATACGAGCGAGAGAGGCTTGATCGAAAACGCCATTACTATGGCCCGCATCGATCACCCATATAAACTGCCGTTTCCCTCACCCGGTAAGACGAAACACAAGGGCGATCCCATCTTGTCCATTGCCGTGCCCCGCGCCCCCGACTTCCGCAGGGACTTTACCAACCTGGGGCCGGACGTGGTGGCGCCCTGGCGCAAGGGCGGCGTTTTCAAGCTCGTGTCCGAGAAGGAGATTATGGCCGCCGGCACCTCTGGTGATAAAAAGTTCACCAAAAGCTACGGCGTGCGCATCCGCTACAGCCACCTACACAGTCTCCATCCCTGGTCGGCCAATAACCTGGCGGCGTCTCCGGGCATCGAGGACGCGCTCGGGGCCAGCGACGGACAGGGTGTCAGTGCCGCCTCCAGCGGCTGGCCCGTCGGGTTCCCCCATCCCTTTTCGGAGATGGCACGGCGCAGGTACGCCATAAAGAACCGCTCAGACCCGCTGTGGTGGTTCGCAATCGTGTTCGCCGCCGAGGGACAGCTGCCCAACAGCAACCTGGTGCGCAACAAGATGCGGTACAAGCTGCAGAGCGCAGTGGAGGCGGCCCTCCGGCAGCGAGGCTATGCCGCCAACGGCGTCCGTCTCGAGGGTTCGGCCGGTGCAAATGCCAAGTACAGCCAGCTGTATGGCTCGATACGCGCGGATGGGCCCCTGGTTCAGATGCTGACGGCGCCGTACGACGAGCTCGTGGGCTTCTTGGCTCAGGCCATCATTGTCGTGGAGGGGCTGCTAGGTGGCCGCAAGCAGACGAAGCTGGAGTCAGTGCGCAGCGAACCTGAAGGCAGAGGTTCGAGAAACGACGCAGACTACAACACGGGCAAAAATATCAAGGGGGCCCAGGAAACCAAACAATCCAAGGGAAAGAAATCCAAAGACCGCTTCCACCTGCTGCTGGATCCGGCACTCTTTTAAGAGGAAAACAAACCAGAGCAGCAATATACCCATAGACTTGTATTTGTAGATTTGTGTAGGAATATACGTGTGCGTTGCAGTGTCCGAGTATGCAAATGTTGAGTGTCTAGTCGGCCCAAGTATAAACGAGGTCTCCAAATGTAAACACTTTGGTTCGGAGAAGGAGGCCGTAACTATGTCTTGGCAGGTGCTGTTTCAAATAGAATAAATGGAATAAGAATAAAACAAGGAAGCTTGCTGTGCTATGATACTGTACAAGTTTTAACAACTATAAAGATAGAGGGGACAATAAAAACACCTATTGTACAAAACAAAAGGGGGGGGGGGGGGTATGACAAAATTACAGCCCGATGTAAACGAATCCTTTGCTTTCAATAGAAAAAAGTCCTGTGAAACTAGCACCTCGCTGGACCCGGATGGCATCAGCAATCTCGAGTACCTCAATACACATATGCCGTCTGTGCCAGCTCCGATATTGCTATGGCCCATGACCTGCGGGCGACGGTCCTATGGTCGCATGCTGTGATCGTGCTTGTGCACAAAATTATACATCTTCCTGTCTGACACTGCTGTGGCGTGCTATCAGTGTAGCTGTTGTTGACTGGCCATCCCAGTGAAGGTGGATATGCATGAGATATGAATGAATACTTGGCGGACAATAGCTCAAACCTATCAGTTTATATCCCGTCACGCTGTATCGCAAACAATAAATAGGAGCATTGGTCTTCTTTCGATATACCAGGTAATATTATCAGACATTAACAGGCATTCGCTATTCGTTTGCTGAGAAGAACCCGAAACCCCCAGATATAACCCGATGGATCCCTATTTGAGCACTATTGTGCCCTGGCTCCACGTTTTTCAGTGGTCAGATGGAAGCTGTCTAAGCTTGGGAATAAAGTGGAGCACAGCTGCCAGCCCCTGGGCCGTCCGCTTTCGGGCACTGTGGGTCCGCGTCTGGCCAGGCCGCTCCTGCCTTGTGCTGTCCTTGGGACATGACCGCCTGTGGACACTTTACGTAGTGTCCTCAAATCGACCTCCAACCCCCAATTAATCAATTTCTCTGCATCCCGCATCACCACACCACCATCGACCGCATCGCCAGCTACAGCGCACGCCCACCACGAAGCCAACAGCTCTTTGCTGCACGCCCTGACTTTTTTTTCGTCCTCTCTTACATATACACACGACTCACACGCCGCCACGATGCTGGTCTCGCTCACCGTCGGCAAGGTCGACGCCGGCGTGACGGTTCTCCTGACCCAAGACAAACGCCTCGTATGCCACCCCGTCCTTCGCCCTGTCTTTGTTACAGTGTCTAGAATTGGGCCCTAACTACTTGCCAGATCGAGTTCCCCTCCATCCTCCTCCCGCCCAACATCTCCTCGGGCTCCATTGTCGACATCGCGGTCAGCCGCAATCGCGCCTCGGAACAGGCCGCGAAAGACAGCTTCGCGGCCCTCCAGAACCGCATCTACGAAACCTTTGGCGTCGAGCCGCCCACCACCCCCGTCCTGCGCTGCCGCAATGCCACCCAGACCAGCGTCGTCCTCGAGTGGGACCCCATCCAGCTCGCCACGGCCGACCTCGCCAGCTTGTCGCTCTACCGCAACGGCCAAAAAGCCGGCAACATCCCCCGTCCCCTCCAGATGCACTCCACCAAGATTTCAGGCCTCGCCGTCGACACCGAGTACACCTTCCATCTCGTCCTGCGCACCAGCGCCGGCACCTTTAGCAGCGAGAAGCTCGTCGTGCGTACCCACAAGATGACCGACCTCAGCGGTGTCACCATTACGACCGGCATTTTGTCGGGCGCTGCGCGGGAGCGACTGGTGGCCGCCGTCGAGCGCATTGGCGCCAAGCTCGTCGCCGACCCGGGCGCTGTGCGCATCGACACCACCCACTTTGTCACCACCGAGGGCCGTGGCGTCGCTTGGGAAAAGGCGGTCGAGCTCAACATCCCGGTTGTGCGCCCCGAGTGGGTCGAGGCCTGTGAAAAGAACGGCCGCATTCTCGGTGTGACCAAGTACTACCTCGACGCCGTGCGGCCGACCGGTCCCAACGACAACGAGCCTGTCGTACCGCCGCCGCCGCAGCAACAGCAGCAGCAGCAACCGCCGACGCCAAACCAAAACAAGGAGTTGCCCCAGTCACCATCCGACGCGCCGTACTCGTCCACGACACCACCCGCAGGAGCCGGAGCAGCTCCGTCAAGCCACACCGCGGCGGAGCCGTCATCGTCGGCCGCAACATCACCCGCAGAAGCACACGACGACGAGCCCGAGACCCGCGACGACCAAAAGGTGTGGCTTGGCGACCAGGCCGGCCATGAGCAAAAGGTGGCCCTGCGGACAAAGCAGGATGCGAGCCGAGCGGCCGAGGATGGAAACGACGGTGACGACGGCGCCGAAGACGATGAAGAGGAGGATGAGGACGACGATAGCGGACGCGGTAGCCATGCCAACGGCAACGGCAATGGCGCGGCGGCAGACAGCAGCCTTAACAAGACGTCAACGCCTGGCGACGGCAACTCGTTCCAGGATGTGGATCTGTGAGGAGGTCAATTGGAGAGCTGTTTGTAATTTTTTTCTCTTCTATGTCTCGTTGTCGCGTTGTACCATTGGTTCTTTTTGGTGTGTCTTGTTTTCTTTTCTCCGGTCGTGACGTTCAGCCTTGTCTTTCGTTCCATCAAAGGCGATAGAGGCGGTTTTAGTTCCAGCGGGAAAATAAATACCATTTTATTTTGTTTTACCGCGGCCAAGTGTGCTATTGTTATTTGTCGTATTCCGTCCTCTGTACGCCATACGTCGTAACGTAATTACCAAGAAATACCTTGTTAAACCTTGGAGAGGTCATTCATTATACTGGATCGTTGCATTTTTATTTTATTTTATTTTTCATTCTTCCTAATAAAAACACACGCAATGATACATCCGTGCATGAAGTGACCATCATGAAGCAAAATTACCAAACCCCAGCTCTCTATATCGTCGTAAATACCCATTTTGCCAACACCCACTCTTTTTTTATTCCCCCTCTTAGATGCGCAGCAGCCGCAGCATAAATGACAGGTCGCCAATGGCCTGCTCCTCCTCTACAATAAGCGCCTCAGGCTCCTTGTCCGCCGACGAGGGTTCCAGCGTGCCGCGCAGAGCCGTCTGGAAAAGCGGCTCGTGCGACGTCACAACCGACGCCAGATCGACCTCGTCGGGATTCTCCACGACGTGGTAGTGCATGCGCACGTCGTCGGCGGGCACCAGGCCGGCCTTCTTGCGTAGGCGCTGGACGCGGTTGATGATCTCGCGCGCCAGGCCCTCGACCGCCAGCTCCGGGTGCGGCGTCGTGTCGAGCAGCACAATCATGTCGTCGGCAAAACCGGGCTCCCACTTGGGACCGTGGCCCTCCTGGCCCTCGGCCGGCGCAGGAGCCTCCTCTTTGACCTCGCCCTTGGCCTCCTCCTTCGCCTCCTCCTTGGCCCCCTTCGCACCCTTGGCGGCCTTGCCGTCCTTGCTGTCCTTGGACGCGGTGACCGACGAGCCCAGGACGCGCACAATCGAAATGTCGTTCTCCTCGAGCACGATGCCACCAACGTTGATCTTCTTCTCGGCCAGGAACTGGCGCAGCTCATTCTGCGTGAGGCCGGGCAAGTTCTTCTTGACCATCTGCACGTCCTTCTTAAGCTTCTTGCCCAGCGTCGGCCAGTCCACACGCGCCTCCAGCACGATGCCGTACTGCTCCTCGTCACTCGTCAGGATGACGTCGCGGACGTTGAGCTCCTCGCGCACGTACGAGCTGAGCTCCTCCACGTCCGCCAAGATATGTTTGTCGGCAATGACCACCACCGACAGCAGCGGCGTCTTGAGCGACACGTTGCAGCGCTCGCGGGCCGTGCGTGCCAGCTGGATCACCTTCTGCATCGCCGACACCTTGCGCTCAATGACCTCGTCGAAGAGCGACTCCTGCACCGTCGGGAACGACAAGAAGTGCACACTGCGGTCGTCCTTGAAGCTGCCGCGCACTTCGGCGCTGAGATGCGGCTTCAGCAGGCCGTAAATGTGCTCGGTGATGAACGGCGTGAACGGCGCCAGCGCACGCACCAGCGTGAACAGCACCTGGAACAGCGTGTTCATGGCTGCCGTCGTGTCGTCGACGCCCAGGCCCGCGCTGCCCTTGAGACGGCGGCGGTTGAAGCGGATATACCAGTTGGTCAGGTCCTCAATCGACGACAGCAGCCGCGGCACCACCGTGTAGAGGCGGTATCCCGTCATCTCCGCCTCCACAAACTTAAGCAGGCTCTGCATCTCCGCCAGGATCCACCGGTCCATGACGTTGCTGAGGCTTTTGCCGTCGCTGATCACCGACAGATCGGCCACGAAGAACGTGCCCGTCGTCTTCTCGTAGAGGTTCGCCTGCTCCGAGAAGAAGCGGTAGCTGTTCCACAGCGCCAGCAGCACGCGCGACACCATCTCCTTGACACCCGACTCCTTGAAGCGCAGCGACTCGGCACGCACGACAGGCGAGTTGATCATGTACAGACGCAGCGCATCCGCTCCGTACTGCGACAGCACAATGCCCGGGTCGGGGTAGTTTTGCAGGCGCTTGGACATCTTCTTGCCGTCCTCGGCCAGCACGATGCCGTTAACGATGACGTTGCGGAAGGGTGACTGGCCAAATAACCGGTTGGCCAGCACCGTCAGTGTGTAGAACCAACCACGCGTCTGGTCAAGACCCTCGGCAATGAAGTCGGCAGGGAAGAGCGCTGGTGGGCCGTTGGGGTCGTCGGCGCGCTTGGTGTTCTCCGCAAAGGGGAAGTGCGTCGAGGCATACGGCATAGAGCCCGACTCGAACCAACAGTCAAAAATCTCGTTCACGCGGCGCAGCTGGCCCTTGCCCTTGCGCGACGGAATGGTGATGTCGTCAACCTTGTCGCGGTGGATGTCATCGAGCGAACCCTCGTGGCCGCTCAGCTGGCGCAACTCTTCGCGGCTGCCGACGCAGACGATTTCCTCAAAATCGTCGCTGACCCACAACGGCAGAGGCGTACCCCAGTAGCGGTTGCGCGAGACGTTCCAGTCGTGGGCGTTGGCGACCCAGTTGGTGAAGCGCTTCTCCTTGACCGCGCTGGGCACCCACGTGGTCTTCTTTAGGTTGTCGAGCATCTGCGGGATGGCGTCGCCGACACGCACAAACCACGAGGACACCGCCTTGCGGATAAGCTGGGTATCAGAACGCCAGCAGAACTTGTCCGTGTGCATAATCTGGCTCTCCACCAGCAGGCGGCCCGTGCTGCGCAGGTCCTTGAGAATGGCCTTGTCGGCAATCTTGACATGCTGGCCGGCGTACTCAGGGATCTCGTCGGTCAGGCAGCCCTTGTCATCGACCGGGCAAGGCGGAAGGCGCTGGGGGGTAATGAAGCCCGCAGCGACGGCCGCGTCGTAATCCTCCTGACCGAAGGCAGGTGCCTGGTGGACGAGACCAGTGCCCTCGCCCTCTTCGACATAGTCGGCCGGGATGACCTGGAAGCAGTCGGCGTATTTGTCGACGTAGTAGCGGAAGAGCGGTTCATACTTCCAGCCGACCATCTCCTGGCCTTTGATCTTCTTGATGACCTTGTACTTGGCCTTCTTGGGATTCTTGTAGAGGAGCGTCAGGCCAGCCTCTTGGAGGATGTACTGCTTGCCGCTGGCCTCATCGAGGATGACCAGGTACTCAAAGTTCGGGTGGGTGGCGATGAGCAGGTTCGACGGTAGGGTCCAAGGGGTGGTGGTGTAGGCGAGCAGAGACGTGTTCTCATAGCCCTCGACGTTGAGGACGGGGAACGCGACGACAACGGCCGGGTCCTGGGTCAACTTCTCGTTCTGCTTGGACTCCATGTGGCTGAGGGGCGTGCCGAGGGCGGTCGAAAACGGCATGATCTGGTAGGCGCGGTAGACGGTGCCCTTGTCGAAGAGCTGCTTGAAGACCCACCAGCAGGACTCCATGAACCGGACGTCCATGCTCTTGTAGTCGTTGTCGAAGTCGATCCAGCGGCCGAGGCGCTCGACGGTGCTGCGCCATTCGGCCGAGTAGCGCATCACAATGGCCTTGCACTCCTCGTTGTACTTGGCGATGCCCATCTTCTTAACGGCGTCCTGGGCGGACATGCCGTGCTTCTTGTCAATCTCGTACTCGATGGGCACGCCGTGCGTGTCCCAGCCAAACCGACGCGGCACGTGGTAGCCCTTCATAGCCCAATACCGGGGGATGATGTCCTTGATGGTCGAGGCCAGCAGATGGCCATAGTGGGGCAGGCCTGTTATGAAAAGTGGTCAGTATGATGTCGACAAGCGGTGGAGGTCGAGGGGTGTTTGCTGTCTCGAGAAAAATGGTTGTCGTGAACGCGACACATCGCGAGACGGTGAGAATTACCGGTAGCTAAAAGAGAGCGCACGTGTGTTAGCAGACTGTTTGCAGGACCCAATTGCGCGTCACAGCGTCCGAGTCTCGTCCCTCCTCCAGAACAACGTACCAAACGGCGGTCCATCGTAGAAAGTGAAGGGCTTGTTGCCCTCGTTCAGTTTGACTTGCGTCTGGAAGGCATCGATCTCACGCCAGAAGCGGATGACCTCCTCCTCGGTCTTCGGAAAGTTGATGCTCATGGTGAACGACTACTGCTGCAGCAGCATAGGAAAATGCTCGAAACAAAAAAAGAAAAGAAAAGAAAAGGGCGCCAAGTAGTCACCACGAGCGTTGTTGGCTTCCAGACAGCAAGTATCGCCAGAAATGCAGAGTATATATGTTTTCGCTGCAGCGTGAGTCACTCTTGCAGGTGCGGTATTGCCTTCGTTATGCCTTCGTGCCGCTCTTTCCTCTTGTGCATTATTCCCCAAGAAAATACTGGAAGGAGGGGCAAACCAAAAAAAAGTTGACAGGCCAATTGTCTCCGAACGGTTATGGTGCCCCGCACAGTGGACTTCCAGTGGCCCATCGAATCGGAAACGACTTTATCCGGCACCGTCTCCAGCGCTATCGCAAAGTGACTATTCCTTCCCGAGCCTTCTGCTGGGAGGGAAGCTACCGTTATACGCTCTGTTTCAGCTACTGAAGCTCCACCGTTTTCACTTACACAGATGGTTCCTTCCTCTTCTTGTCTTCGTCTCTTTCCTTCCCCTTTCATTCTCACTTACACCTTCCCAACTCAGAGATAAGTGTATCGTCATCCCCCCCTTTTCCTTCCCTTCTTCTTTGCGTCGTTTATTCACACGTTCTCTATTTTTTACCTCATTGTGATGAACGCCTAACTTGCGTCGGCATCCCGCCACTGTCCCATCCAAGCCCCGGCTGCTTAAAGTCCCGCAGTAAGTATCGCAATACGATGTTAGTAGCACCGTCTTCCTTTCGGATCACCTCTCCTCGAGGGAAGACTCGGTGTGTGCCCATTGTATACACTCTCAGCATCTCAACCGTCCTGTAAACTCTGACAGGGCTGTTCGCGGGCCGTCCATTGCGACCCCATTCGATCAGATCGACAATGTTGACGTGTGTCCGCCGCACCGCCGCTTTGCACTCCTTTGTTGTTGGCGGCAGATTTCGAATTCCGATCGCCCTGCAGAGGTCGTGCCATGCGGCGATGTCGCTCACGTCGCCATACCAGAGCTGTACCTCGTCCACCAGCGCCCGTTGGTAGCGTGCCCAGGCTCGCTCGCGTGCCTTTGTCCCGGGTCGCCAATCGAGGAAGCGTTCGAGCTGCCGGAATGACTCGGCAGGCGGCTTGAAGCGGTCGTATGGGAATGAGTTAAAGTTCTGGAAGAAGCGGTCGAGCGGCGTGTCGGCCAAAGCGGCCGGCCCTGCAGACTCTGCTTGCTATTCCTTCTTAGTTTTCTTCTCTTCCTAAAGGTTTGGTTTCTTTCTGTCGCCTGTCTCGCTGGACACAATTCTTCATGTGACTTACCACCGCCATATTATGTTTGCGTGAATTGCGGGTATGGTCGGCGAGTGCCTCGTCCGTTACGAAGAGCTTGTCGCAGAGGGTGCAGCGTGATGTCTTTGTGGCCTGCTTCTTCTTGGCTCTTGTCGTGGTGACAGTACTGGCCACTATAGTGGCACCTCGGGCACCATGGCGATTGCGTGTTGTGCCGGTTCCGCTGCTTGGGATGCCGCGGTTCTTCCTTTCTGAGATACCGTTCGTGGGTACCGCATTCGCAGGACGTCCAGCCTGCGCATGATTTCGAGCGTCTCGTTTATGATTCTTGAGGGCAGCGGCTGTTTTGAATTTGCGAAAGCACGGAGGATCGCACGAAAAGCTCCTTGCCGTGGGCCCGCTACTGGCCATGATAGACTCGGATTTGTGGAATGATAGAACGAATCCAAGTGGTGTTCGACAAGATGGACAACCGTGGTTTCTATCTTGTTTAGCAAACCTCAAGTGAAGAGCTTGCTCCTCTATTTATTTTGTCTCTCAAGATCCCACACATTTCCTTGCCATTGAAACTCCTCCGGTGGATATCTCATTCAAAATGCAAGGCTGCCTGACCAATGCTGGATGAGGCGAACTGCTGCCGTGAGCGACTGCTTGTGCATACAACAAATCAACATCATATGTGGTCCGTCAACCCCACCCCCCTTTGCGTTGTCATATGCGTAACCATACCACAAGGCTATGACACGTGTTCAAGGTGGCCGCATTGTCGCAGCGACAAAGATCAAAGTCATGAAAAAAGACTTGTGTATGCCGATGCCCATTCAAAAATGCAAATACAAAGTGCCCCCGCACACACCATGCGCAAGCTCGTTGGCTCATCTGACTTGGCCCCCAAAGCTCCTCTGTTTTACTTGGTAGATACCCTCAAATGTGTCTTGGTCCTATGAACGACATTTTCGAGACAGTTCGCGTTGCCGAATCATCAACACTATGTCCCAGACCCTCTGCCCCGGCTGGAGCCGTGACTTGGCACAGCCGACCGTTTTGCGAGCCAGCATATAGGTTGTCGTCTACACGCACTGACCAACCTTCGCTGCCCACAGTAGTGGGTGCCCAAAAAACGTTCCAAGGGTCCCGGGCACGCTTCACAGCCAGCAGGCGGTTGTATTCGGCACCCCAGAAGCTCTGCTGCCAGTTGGGCTCGTCAGGATCGGCCTCGTTGACATATGCTCCCGATCCAGGCGTGGCAGCACGCAGCAGGCCCATGGCAGCCTCAAAGCGCGCATGTGCTGCCCTCTGACGTCCTGCCACGGTATCAGCCGTGTTATTTAACAGTGCTCCAGAACCTGAACCATAGCTGCCTCCAAGCCTCCTATTGTCGAAGACGTCACCATGAATCAAGGCATCGCGAAAGGCTGGGTTAACGGAGCTGTTGCCTGGGAACTGGACAGCCGGCAGATTGAGCGACGGTGCTACCTGGACGCCGTGGAACGAATAGCCCGACTGTATGACGGTACGCAATGCCATCATCGTGGCGTTAAACATGCTGTCCGTCTCCCAGTTGCGCCGGGGGAACAGGCGCGTCGCAAACCGTCCATCGCCGGGGCTGTCACCCGCACCATGCCGGGAACCAGGACCCCAGGAGGCGGATATGCGCGGCAATGTGTTGTTGACGTGGATACCGAGTTTGTTAAGACTGTCGAAGAGGGGCTGCAAGAATACTTGGGCCTCGACAGCGGTCATGCCGGGAAGTTCTACTGAGGTCGAGAAGCTGTAGCTACCGTTTGAGATACTACCGTTTGCGCTGCTACTGGTGGTGTCGTTGTCGCGGAAACCCGGCAACAGCTGCGAGATGTAGCTGTAGCCGGTACCACCGCCATCACAGAGCTGCTGACTGAAGCGGAAGTACGAGTTCACACCCTCCCAAAATGCCTTGACGCTGGGCGCCGTGACAGGCTGCCGGAATCGAGGGGGTCGCGGGCGTGTACCATTGGCGGGTGGCGTGGTGAAATTGAACGGGTTTGTGCCCCCAAAGGGATTTGTCAAGTTTGATGGATTGGATGTGTTCAATGGCGGCAAGGGAAAGCCCGAGAAATTGAAACCTGCATACGAATCTCCGATCTGGAACGAAAACGTGCTCTCCGACACATGCACGGCTGGGAAGGCGCGCACAATCACGGACGTCACAATGCCGTACGACCCCGGTCCTCCGCCTCTCAGGGCATAGAACAGATCCGGGTTCTGAGTTGCGTTGACCGTCACAAAGCGCCCATCGGCCGTGACAACCTGCAACGACAGCACTTGGTCGGAACCCATGCCATAGAGCGAGCCGAGCGACGAGTGCCCACCACCGGCCATCCAGCCGCCAAAGGCGCCGACGGTCTGCCCGCCGGGTACGACAAGAGTCATATTATAGCGCGACATGTACTGGTACAACTCCCACGCCTCGAGACCGACACCGACCCGAGCCGCCATGCCGTCGTAGTAAGTGCTGCCGTTTTGCGTGGTGACGATATGATGCGGTAGAAACTCAAAATTCTTGAGGTGGTGCGTCCACACACTGAGAGCGCCAGCGCCCGTCGACCGACCAACAAAGTCATGGCCAGTATTTCTATGGAAGGGGTTAGAATATCAAAGCAACAATATAAAAATGATCTGGGGTGGAGGGAGTTGCCTACTTGACGACAAGGCGCACGTTCTCGTTGCGTGCAAAATTGACGGCCGCCTGTACCTGCTTGACCGTCGACACGTTGACCACGTACTCGGGAAACCCACCGCGTGTACACGTTCCTTGCGGATACAATGTTGCAGCGCATGTTCCACCCTGGGGCCACGACGTCAAGACCGTTAGCGGGTCGTCAATATAGACACGCGAGTCGAACGAGCCGAAGACGAGCTCACGGCACCGCGTCTGGTTAAGCGCCCCAAGTGTGCCGTTGGCGGTCGGGTAGCATACGGCGCCCAGAGGTGTAGGGTGCAGCAGGCCGCCGTCCATGGTGTCGTTGAGGCGGGCCCATGTAGCAACCGACGGCCAGCCATGGGAGCCCGGGAAGGCGCGGCAGGCGGGGCCGGCCACTCCCGCCTTGGCCGCCGTGGCATTGGCAAACGCAATGGCGGAAAAGTTTCCGACATCAACCTCGGTGAGCTGGGTCGCTTCGTATGCAAAGTTGATGTCAACATTGGTAGCTTCGGGGCTGGTTGCGTTGGCCGTGGAGGCGACGCTGGCAACAACGGCCGTCGCCAGGGAAGCCCTTACGAGCAGCTCATAACCTATTGTTTGCTTCATCGCTGTTTTTCCGATGCCCTTATTCGTCTGATTTCTAGGAGACGAATGTCAGTCGCCCTTGATGTCTACTCAACAAATCCACGCGACACCGGTGAGAATAAATGCACAACACCCAGTCGTGGCTGTCTTCCGTCTTATAAGAACCGGCACGGCTCCTTCTTGCTCCTTTTCTGGCTTCTCTCTCATTGTTATTAGTTTCCTTCAGTGAATAATACAAGGCTGCACGTTATTGTACGGTCGATGACAAGATTTTGTCATATAACCGTATCGTCTGTTGCCCAATTCTTCTTATGTTCTGCGGTTGATATAAGCTTTTCCTGAAGTAAATACAACCGATGATTCCGAGCCGGCCGCCTCTGTACGTATACTTGCCATACAGTCTCGTAAAGAGGAGAAAGCGAGGAGTAAAACTATGTGGTACCCAAGTCTGAATGGATATATCCAGAGTCCTTGCGCGGGATACTTGTACAGAAATTTAACATCACAAACTGCCATATTAGAACGGCTGTATGGCTCCACCCCTGTCCCATGAACTCGCTCCAATTCAACCGCAGATAAAGGGCGAATATCGACTGCCTAGACGATCGTTCGATGCCGATATTATGCTGAAATAGCAAGTTGTCATAAATATATCTGATGAAACATTTACGTTCAACATCCCGAATGAATGACAGGCAGAAAGAAAAGGAACGGAGAAAGAGAGAATGAGAATAGATATACCTACCAGACTCGCCCGTCAACATACAAATCAACATAGACAACCGAGAACAAATACTCTGTCGTTGCCTCGCATGTCACCGATAGCAGGTATAACGAATTTATCATGACAAGTGTGGGTGCGGTGTCGGACGAAAAAGGACCAGTTCAACATCTACATATCCAAATCACACAGGATACAGACACACATATATCGTACATGCCGTATGAAAAATGATCTCAGCAACGAGGCTCGAAACAGTTCACGGGCCGCTCCGGTCAGCAGAACGACGTTCCTCTGGTTCTGTAAAGCAGGGCCCTTGCAACCTCGCAGGTGCAGGGACACATTGCTGTCTCAATACAACGCTGTGCAACGAGGCGCAATGTAAGGCACAGAAAACAACATTGTGGTAGCCGAATCGGATGAACGGTGCAGCTCGCGTGCGCAGTCAATCACAGCCCAGCCTACAGGGCCTTGCGGCATGTGCAAGTAGCATCCTTTGTCACCGGTCACACGAGTTGCTTTGGATGACGACAGAGAAAGAAAATGACAAGAAATCGAAAGGGACGGCAAATGCATTAAAGCGAGTCTAGAAGGCAGCCGAGAAAATAAGGGAGGAATACTAGCACAGTGGCTAGCATTGAGCGTGGGATGACAGCCCCAATGAAGATCGCCTGGGTGTTCGTCGTACACGAGGAAGCGTATACCATGTTGTGGGTTTGTGGCGGAATGCGGGAGACAAAAAGTGAGGGTCGGGGGAGCCACTCAGCGCCCCAAAGTCACTACCTGGCCACGCTGGTTCTAGACGATATTTGCCCGTGTGATACTAGAGGTCAACTAAAGCAAGGAATAAAAATATGCGAAGATAAAGAAAAGGGAACGGAGAAGAAAAAAAAATGGAAAAGAGAGAGATCACGACGTCATGACGACGATCATCCCTTCTCCCACGCTTCTTTTCTGCCGGAGCATCCTCGCGTTGGAAAGGCGTTGGCAATGAGTTCAAAAAGCAGAAGCAGCAAAAATACCAAAATGGACGACCTCTTGTCTAGCTGGCGGCGTGTTTTTCTTCTTTGTCCGTGAGTTGCATCCATCTTTGTTTGTTTCTTGCTGGGCGGAGCTGCCTAGCGTCGCGCCGTACAATATTGGGCAGTGGGCTCGATGCACACTGAGACACCCTGCAGAGAAAGAACGACCCGAAAAAACACTGGGCCTTTGCGGGAGATCTATGGCACTAGCGGCAAATAAAAACTGGGTCCACCAAGCATCTCTGCTCTGGGATGACTACACCTCGCATCGCTACTTTGGTGGTACCCAAGTCATCCAGCAGCATAAGCGTCTATGGAAAGTTCCTTTGCCCCTCTACAGCGTAAAAGTAAATACCGCCCAAAGCAGAGCTCTTCAGAAGCTCAGAAACTTCACCTGGCGCAGCACGGGATGGGCGAGCTGGGAAGGAGCGCCCGGGGAGGTCGATGATGGGGCTGCTGCCGGATCGGACTAGTACCCGATCGGAATAGCTCCTGGTGTGTTGTCGTCATGGGGGCAGAAGCAGCACAGGGAAGGTACGATGGTCAGCACATGTCCACCTCGTCGCAATTACTCGAAGTATCCAGAGACAAGCTCTTAGGGAAAGTACGGAGTATTCTGGTGCATGCTGTGGTGTGTTGCCGGTGGGCCTACCCAAGTACCTCGTCACACATATTTCTCAGTTGCTCTTGCCTGATCCGACTGGCCTTTTTGGTCTCGCCTCTCTTCAACAGGTCACTCTCTTCACTCTCCGGCGCATCGCTCCTTCTCGTGTGAGCATCGCACACTAAATATTCGTACTCTGGGCCGCCAGTCCACTCACCGCCGACCGACCGAGCTTTCCCTTTTCGCTAGTTGAGTCGCCCGCCAACAATCCTTCGTCATAATCTTCTTGTTAGCGTCTGGCACGCTCTTTCTCAAATCGGCTGAGAGTACCATTACGTCGTTGGTTCTGCCCCACGCCCATCCGGTCTACTTGCTTTACAGCATTGGGAAAGAGCAGATCGCGCACCTTCTTTGTCCTTGTTCCCTCAGCTAGTAGACTTCTCTTGCTGTTTTATTTACCTCGCCTCTCCCACTTTGGCTGCTTTCCAATCTCCTTTCCCCTCCTTTTTCTTTTCTTTTCCTTTTCCTTTTCCATTTCTTTTTTCCCCGTCGCTTTCCCTTGTGTTACACACGTCCCGCAGAATCGCCAATACCACCCTCCAGCACCAGTTTGGATATTCAATTTTCCTCCATTGGTCGCATTTTCGGCCTCTGCGTCTCTTTCCACCAGCGAGATATCTCGTTCGAGCTTTGGAACTCGACAAACAGCACCAACAGCATAACCGTCCGCGGTACTGTGATATCCACCTCCTCGCCGACTATTCAAAACAAAACGTCAAAATGGCGCTTATTCGTATGTTTCCGCTGTTTCTGTCCCTTTAAGTTGCAATGTTGACTGACTCCCGCAGACGCACCGTTTGGCTTGGCCGCCTCAGTGATGCTGGCCACGTCCATCTTGTTCCTCTTTTTCATCATTCTGGCCGGCGTCACCGGCACAACGCCATTGAACAAGACCTACTTCCTGCAGGCCGACACGACGGGCATTCAAGGCGCCCACGACATCTCGCAATGGACCTATCTGTACTCGTGCGGGCCCAACAATGAGCAGTGCGGCAGTGCCCATCCGGCCATCCCTTTTGGCAACGTCTGGGCTCCCAATGCTGCGAATGCTCCGCCTGAGCTGATAGGCAAGTATGGCGGCGGAACGACCTCGCATTACTATTTCTATATGTGGCGCTTCAGCTGGGTCTTCTTCCTGATTGCGCTCTTCCTGGAGATCATCGCCTTCTTCTCCAGCTTCCTCGCCTGCTGCGGCCGCCTCGGCTCGAGCATCGGTAGCTTTGTCACCTTCCTGGCCTTTGCTTTCCTGGCCATTGCCGTGGCCCTCATGACGTGAGTCATTTTCCTGCAGCCTGTGTCTTTTTCTCTCCGTTTCTCGTTTTATAAATACGTGGAATCTAACAATGCAGTGCCACGTTTGTTAAAGCTCGCAACGTCTTCCACAACCACAACCGCGACGCACAGCTCGGTAGCTACGGTTTCGGTTTCAGCTGGGGCGCCCTTGCCGCGCTGCTCATTGCCATGATCCTGCTCTGTGCCGGCGCGACGCGCAAGGGCAAATCGAAGAACACAGTCGACGACGGCACCAACGGCAACGCGGCTCAGGGTGGCCGCCGCTGGGGCCGCCGCGGCCGGCGTGACCGTGCTGGCAGCTTTTCCAAGGTCAACTACGAGGACGGCCGCCTGGACAACGTCAACGTATAAGCATGACCCGTCGTTAGTCTCCCGACCGCTCCTCTGCGGCCGAGCACCGTCTTGTGCGTCCTTCGCCAAGAAACAGCCGAGCACACAAAACGAACAACACCGTGACGAGAAACGACCATGTCAAAAGCAAATTGACCTTTTGACATGTCTGTCTGTTCCTCTCCAGCACCCACGGAGACTTGCATTATCCACAACGATAATTGCACTGAGTCCGCCATCGAGTCATCTTTGAATCGTCAATACAGTACGACCAAGAAGCTGCTCGTCACAGCCATAATTGCAAGCATACCACGTCATAACCATCTATGCCTAATACCTGGCGTTTTCCGTCTTTCCAAATGATACCACGTCTGGATATGGGATCAAAAATTTTATTGTCAGTTTTGTCATGTTTTATCTTCTTTTTTTATTGTACTAATTGTAGACGGTCTATTGGTCAGTCGATTATCAGGCCTACCACGCTTTCACGAGGCGTGGAGGACAGTTGTATTTTATTTTATAGGTTGCATTGTTTGCTTTGGTGAAGTAAGTGCGCTTCCATTAATCAAACAATAAACGAAGTTTTTCATTTACCAGTCGGTACTCTCATAAGGTACTTGGATAAATACCGGAAGTCTTACATTTTCAGCAATTCATTTATAAAATGCAGTTATCATTTTGATATTAAATAATTTCCGTTATTAAAAAAGTGCTATTTTCGTATGTTTACAAAACATTCGTACCGTCATGATTCAGGTCAACATTATCAAAACAAAAACTTGACCATCTTTGCTGATCCTCCGACTCCCCACCTCAACCTAACCCCATTCTCGTCAGCCAACACACAAATTCACATTGATCTCGCGCATGATCTGGGCAATTCCATGCGGCCCATAGTACGGCATGCTGCTGACGCCATAAGACGTGTTGGTGGCCGTGTCTGCGGCGCGGGACGACGCCAGAGCACGCGCCTGGAGCACGCTGTCGCGACGGGCCCATAGCTGCTCGAGCACTTCGGCCGCGCGAATCGACGACCACGTGGCCTGCGGTGAGGCGCGCAGGCCCTCGGCCAAGAAGACGCGCTCGTCCGGGTGGACTAAGATGGAGCCGGCAATGAGCAGCGGCCACAGCAAAATGGTAGCAAAGCGCGACGCGACGAGATCGGCGCCGAGGACGGCCTCGCCAAGGGCGTGGATGTGGCGCTGCAAGGCGGCGACGCTGGGGCCGGAGGTGGGCCCCTCGCCGTGCTCGCCTGGCACCTGGATGGTCTCCAGGTAGATCAGCAGACTGTGGCGGTAGACCTCGCCGATGGCGCGCTGCCAGATGCGCTCCTGGTCGCCGGTGGCCCGGGCCAAGAAGGGGGCGGGCAGCTGCCAGGCGAGGGCGCGGTTGCGGAGAGAGGCGACCTGGGCAGCAATGGCCGAGGAGGAGGAGGAGGAGGAGGAGGAGGAGGTACTGCCGGCTGTGGCAGCAGCCGCATCGGCAAACAAACTGCCCAGAGTGCTTGTTGATGGCGACGCCGAGGCAGGAGGCCGTGCGGCGGTCGTCCCGGATGGCTGTGGACGGATGGCGGCAGCGGCCAGACGGCTGACGGGGGGAATCAGGGCAAACAGTCCATGCAGGCCCGAAAGCAGAAGACCGAAACACTCCTGATCCTGCAGAAGCGAGGGGTCGGCGACGAAGTCCTCGTCGTCGTGGGTTGTCGTGTCTTCGGCAGCGGCGGAGCGGCCGTGGATCGTGCCGTCCGGGCAGATGCGGTTGGCGAGGACCTGGTAGGCGTAGATCTCGCGGAGGGAGCCCAGCATGCTGCGCTCGTCGGGTGACAGGCTGGTGCGACGGTCGTCGGAGCGCAGCCAGCCGATGAGCTGGCGGCTGGCGCGCAGGTGGGTAAAGACGCTACCACTCAAAATGTTCCACGAAAGACACTCGTAGGTGGCCAGCAGGACCAAGATTGTCAGGACGCGCAGGACCTGGGTGGTGTCCGAGGGCTGGAGGTTGCGCAGGACGGAGCGCAGGCTGCGGAGGACGCAGGTGTAGTGGCGGGTGGTAGCGTCGTGAAGGGCGGCCGTGGCGATGTCAGGAGCCGTGTACGGCGCGAGGGTCGATCCTGCGGCCATGCCCGTGGATGATGGTCCAGAGCCATTGCTGCCTCCGCCGCCTTCTGGCGCGCACGGTTTCGTGAGACGGTTGCTGAGATGGGCCCCGCCAATGGCCAGGATGCAGTGCATGACGAGGTCGTCGGTGTAAGCAAGCGGGAGAAAAGCGGCCACGTAGGGGTTTTGAGCGGCGCGGCATGTCGCCAGGGTGGGCGCGGCCTCGACAATGTAGTGGCGCAGCATGGAGGCAGACAGTGGCGTCATGGCCGCGACCCGGCGGCGCTGGATCGGGTAGGACGGGCGAGGGTTGGCAAACGCTCGGCGTTGCTGCCAATGCTGTTCTTGTTGTTGGTGTTGGTTTTGCAACGCATGCTGCTGGGAAGGCTGCCGCCGTCGGTAGACAGCGGCAATGGCAGACTTCTTGGGCCGCGGCGGGGGTACGGCATCGACGGTAAACGAGGCCAGAGCGGGAGACCAGGCGGCCAGGATAGCGTCTTCGTCCTCGTCCGCGGCATCATCACCGTTGTCCTCGTAGTCGCCGTCCAGGTGGCGGGCGTACTCGTCGTCGTGCTGCGGCGGCGCGTCTTCATCGTACATGCCGTGGACGTCGTCTTCGTCGTCATCGGCGGTTGTCGTAGTTGCCGTCGTTGCATAGTCGTCTACATCGGTGTTGTGGTTACTCGACGACATAGGCTGGACGCTGTCGGTGTCGTCGACGCCGGCAGAGGGCGAGTCTGTGGCAAACGTGGTGGCCGAGGCTGCGGTAGGTGTTGCGGCCGTGGCCAGACCGACAGACACAACATCCCGGCGATATCCGGCCTCATCGTAGACGGGGTTGAGATTCACGCTGCAGCCTTCGACGCCCTCCCAAGTGGCCAGGGATGGCAGGTAGGTCTGCCAGCGGCTCTTGTGCTGGTAGAGGGTGAGATTGGAGGAGGAGATCAGCGGACAGGGATGGCCGGTTGAGCTGGATGAGGCGCCATCTCTTGTGGTTACATCACCAGCCGATGTACGCATATTGGCCGAACTGCTGCTGGCCGCACTGGCCGCACTGGCCGCATTGCCTGCCGTCGTGGCTCGAGCCGGCCAGACGCACGACAGCTTGTTGCGGGTACACCCCACGCATTGTGGGCGTGTCTCGTCGCACTTTTTCTTCCTCTGTCGACAGGTCAGGCAGCCGTTGCGCGATCGCGGGTAGTTCCGGCGCAGTTTGGTCGGATACTTGGCTGTCTTGGTTTCCCTGACGGCGGCGGACATGGTGGTGAGCCGTAGTGTATCCTAGACCGGCGGGGTGCGGGGTGCGGGACGTCCAGCGAGACTGGCGAAACGGGACGGTGGCAGCAGCTGGGCCGGGCAGAGTCGATGTTGATGCGGCAGACGTTGCGTACGGTTGGGCGAGAAACGCCGCAGCCCGCTAGGCATACATGCGGAGCAGTTGCTGAGCAAAGCAGTCTTGACATGCAGTACGGAGTACCCGCAGGCTCTCTCGTCGTCGACGTTGTCCGTTGGCCCGTTTTCGATGAATGCTCGTTGGAAATGGTGCTGTCCGTGCCAAGACACTCTGGCGAATGCGAGTGCGGGCGGCCGGCGAATGTATGTTGCACTTAGCAAAGCGACCGGTAGCCTCAATGATCAAGGCTGCCCTGTTTCCGTGGCTGCCGTGAGTACTCCCGGGGGAGCCTAGACAGGCGATGACAGCACGATGTGTTCCAGACGTATCGTTCACGGTCCTCTAGCGAAGGATTCGGCAGTGACAGGCGATGTCGGCAGAGGGTAACACATGCAACGAGAACGGTCCAAAGGTGTGACCAGGGTAGGAGGCTGGGCGGATGAAAGCTGAGCCAGGCGAGGTCAAAGAAACAAAACGACAAAGGAGGCAAAATTAGTCAAATTGGTGATGCAATTGTTAATTTTGTTTTTTTTTCTGGACAAGTTGTAGCTCGAAACGTATGTTGATGCATATTTTTGCATTTTATTTTGCCCCAATATGTTTGTCGACAAATAACCTGCAAACTCCTCCAAACACGACACCGGCCGGCTTGCACGGGGCCATCTCTTGTCGGACATTCGGAGGGGATGGAGCATTACGACACAGAGATGCAGCCTTTTCCACGAACGGTCCTTTCATTACGTGCTCCACTGTGGTCTAATGGTCACCCATCGCTCGTTGAGGCAGGACCCAGGGGCCGCCTTGTAGCCGCGCTGTGCCTGCCGCGTGGCCCCGCGCTGTGTCCATCGCGACTGCTGCAGCTCTGTTCTTACACTAGGGCGCGTCTAGATAAGAAAGAACGGAAATCGGACCCTAGGCGCCTAGATAAGGACCATAAACTTGCTGAGTAAGAAAGTACGACATACGGTGCAAACGGAAGGAGGAGCCTTGACGTCCCAGTTGAATCTGCCTCCAAATCCCCAAATCCCCAAATCTCCCCTGAACCCCTGTCGGGTTGCAGGGCCATTCCTTCCGTCTCATCTTTGGTCGAATTACAAATTCTTTTTCTCCCTCCTCTTTTACTTCACATATGCCACTGTCTGTTTTGACTCTCGACGTCTCTCTCCACACTGCTCCCTCACACCTCTACTTTGTGACGGGCCGTTGGCCTACGAAATCATCGTATTGTCTTAACCGCTTTGGTGCTATGAAGGATGGCTGCGCCTCGACCGGGCAGCATTGAAATGCCAGATGACACGACACTGACAATAACAGAAACAACGAGCTGCAGACGCTGGCAGAAACCACGCGGCACGCGCTATGTGGTCCTTGGGTACCGTGTGCGTATATGTTCGGCTTATCTTGAAAGCTACCGTGCGAACCGTTTGTTTAGACGTCTTTAAGGTGATGACGATTTAGAGCGTTTTTGTCGTTCGCTTAACAGGTTTCACCGACATATATGCCCATATTAGCGTTGAGAATCTGAAAGTATGACTGCTATATTTGGCCGAATTCACCAGGCTCACCGTTTCCTGAACGTGTTCCCCCAGCAGAAGGTGGCGCTTGAGGCCGAGCTTTGAGTCACTTTGGCGATAAAAAGCACGTCCGAATCTTGGTGCAAAGGCAATTGCTCCGTACTCTGCAATGCTGCTTTTGACTCTCTTGTGGGGACCTCTGTGCTACTTTTCATTGCCATGACGGGGAAACGACATGGCACGAACACTTTATTCGGTCATGAGAGCCACCGATTGTCTCTAGAGCATCTCAGTTCAAGAGGAGGGGATATGCAGTGAATGTGAAGCACCGAGCTTAGAGGAGAAGAAACGGACAGACACATATGGAGGCGCTAGACTTAGACAGATGCTATTTTTGTACGGTGTAAATGGTTCTGTAGACTCTAGCCTCAATATCACAGCGTCATGATGTCTTGACTTTCGATATTCTGTTAAGCGGCTTTGCAACCAGCATCAGTTTTTATTCCGTGGTGCTTGCATTCTGCTGCTCGTAACTCCATTTCCCAGGTCTATTTCTGTCACCACATGGCCTGGTTATCTTACGCTCCGGGTTGACACATTACTCTGAACAGGCACCGGTACGGCATACTTTGTAAGGCTACGCTTGGCTCCAGACTGGAAATTAGCGGGCCGGAGGATTGCGTCGTCCATGCGGCGAGACGCCAAGACAAACGTTTTGGCTCCGATTGGGTTGCTCGTATTGCACTTACCGCTTTTGTCTGTCTCTCGCGAACTAAGCCCTGTCAACTATTTCTCACCTGAAAAAGAACCTCATCAGGCAGCGACAATTCTTCGAATATGCGGCCAAATGTGCTTGATCTTTGTCGATTTAAGTCCTGTTTAGACTCTGGGTCGCAGCATTCGGACGCCCAACTGGGCTGCTTCCGCTGCGGAAATTCATTCATGGCAGATTTTGATTCCGGTAGCTTGGGGGCGTCGTTTTGCCCGACAAGGCTACCATTGACATGGCTCCTAAAGCTAAAGTCACAGTCTTACGTATTGACTGCAGGACGGCAGGCATGCAACGGAACAAAAGACGTGCCATGGAGGGTCCTACCCACGTCACTGCGCCTAGGAAGCTGGCAGCCGAATGGCGGTGGCATTGCTGGGCTTTGACCGAAGATACACCAATTACCTTTAACGTTTTACGTTGTAGAAACTCCGGTGAGCAAGTGGAAAATATCGACAAGAAACAAATAATAACAAAACGAAAGCAAGAACAAGACAAGGTCGGAAAGCTTAATTTTGGTTTCTGTTCACTTCCCATATTCTTTCAAAACGCAACTTTGCCTACCAATTCTGAACACATGGGCTATCGTTCTGCCCGTTTCCACGGAATTTCCTGGTCCTGATTCCCAAAGCATTCCCAAGTCGCTTAAAACAGGTGATGCAGAAGGAAACAATACGCAACTGAGAGGTAACAAGCAAGAAGACTCGGCCTAGCGGTCTATGTTCCGTCCAGCGACGTCCGTGTATTCTTTCTCATTTGAGGCAGGCCACGTAATAGTGTCGGGCGTTGAATTAGTGTGTAAGACTGTATACCGAAACGGTCCGTTGGCCCCAATATTTGTCCGTTTGAAACAGAGACCAATGCCATGCAGGAACGAAAGCGAAAACGACCAACTAAATAGGTTCACGGCAAGTCAAAAGACGAGAGACACACACCAAAAAAAAAAAAAAAAAACCACCACATTGGAACCACAACAAAGGAGACAGGGATGAAAGAGAGTAGGCAATAATTTTTCGAAAAAAGGCATCACTAAAACCGGACTTTTAAAAGCTTTGCACCAGTGTATGTAACTTGATATGTGCGCCAAGAAAACAGAACGAAAGGCGACAAACGACAGGTTAAACCCGTACTCCGTACGAAATAGTGCCTCTATGATGCCGGCTTCCGTTTGATATCGATACTGGCCGGCTACTTCATGCATCCCCGTCGTCCTGTAATCGACAATCATGCTTCGACTTCAGTCTTTTCTGCCTAGTTCCTGTGGCACTCGCTTCCTCACTCTCTGCCCTCAGCCTCAACAACTGACGACAAGCTTGGCACCCGCATTCGCTTCCTGACTGCAACCCCTGCGACTGTGCACGAAGCTACCAAAACAACAAGAACAAAAATAAAGTAATAAAAAATAACCTTTTACCAGCAAATCGAGACACGGCAGACGCGAGGCGCACTCCCATTTCGAGGCCGAACCAAACAGTTTTGCTGCGTTTTGCAATCACACCCCAGCCCTATCGTCTCTTTATTTTTCGCTCCTTTCTCTATTTACACAGTCTCCGCCATTCCAGAGCCGCACACCCCCCTGGCCAGCATTGACCAGTCTCGTTCGCATATCGCGCATGCTTACCCCCGTCCAGTGTCGACTACCGTTTCGTCCCTTTCTTTTTTCGCCTTTATTTTGTTTCGTCCCCTTTTTGATTTTCTGGATATTTATATTGTCTTCTTGTCCCTCATTTTTCTTTCCCTCAACCGTTGTTCATTCATTAGTCCTTATTTCCCAGCCCTACCGCGATCTACAACTCGCTTCGCCTACGACAGCCTTTATTGTCGACTTCTCACATTTTCTGCCTTTTTTTATTCTCCTTCTGTCTTTGCCTCGTCGTTATTGAATTAACCTTGCTCGTTCATTTACCTCGTCTTTGTCTCCCGGCATCTCATTTTCAATCCCTGACCTGCCGGTTTTGTGTCTGTGTTTTACATACAAACGTATTTTAAATACCTCGCCCATCCGATTCACGTCCGTCTCTTAACAGTCACCATGAGCGGTCTTCCCGACGGCTACATTGCCTACGGCTCTGATGCCAACTGCACGCTCGCGGTCTGCCCCGTCGAGTGGAGCATCCTGCAGTACCAGCCGTCCATCCCGGCGAGCGCCGTCTTCATTGCTCTCTTCGCCATCGCCCTCGTTGTTCACGCCGTCGAAGGCCTTCGCTGGCGCCACACCCTCGGCGGTTTTGCCATTCCCATGATTCTCGGCTGCATCGACGAAATCATTGGCTACAGTGGCCGTATTATCATGCACGGCAACCCGTTTTCTTTCAATGGCTTCCTCATCCAGATCAGTACGTCGAGACACCCAACCCAGCCACGAAGCCACCAAACTACCGGCAGTGAATAGCAAGCTAACAACCCAGTCTGCATCACCACGGCTCCCGTCTTCATCTGTGCCGCCATCTATGTAACTCTGTCCCGAACGTACGTGCCCTCCGCTAACTGCGCGGTAGCATCCATACCTTGACTCGCTCCGTTGCTGACTGAACCATAGGATCGACTTCCTCGACCGTTCGCTCGCCCGCTTCAACCCCAAGTTCTTCATCTGGTTCTTTATTCCCTGCGACGTCATCTCGCTCATCTTCCAGGCTGCCGGCGGCGCCCTCAGCTCCACCTCGTCCGGCGGCGACCGTCTCGGCGTCAACATGTCGCTCTTCGGTCTCTCCTTCCAGGTCTTCACCCTCGTCATCTTTATTTTCTTCTCCGCCGACTACCTCGTCCGCTACTACCGACGCAACAGCGGCCTCAGCACCCACCTCGCCAACCCCGGCCGCTTCCGGCTCTTCATGGGCGGACTCTGGGCCGCCATCCTTTTAATCCTCGTGCGGTGCATCTACCGTATTGACGAGCTCAGCGAGGGCTACAGCGGCGCCCTCTTCCACAACGAATCCGTTTTCTACGGCCTGGAGAGTGTCATGATTGTCCTCGCCGTCTTCTCCCTGGTTATCGGCCAGCCAGGGTTTGGCCTGCAGGGCGGCCGGACAAAGGATTACAGCGTCTCGGGAACCGAGATGAACAGCGTCATCGACAGGCCGTCTGCCTAAATCAACGCGTCCCATTGACAATAAACCGTCAAGTGTTCTGAAGAGAGAAACAGAGAGAGAAAGAGTCGTGCAACCATGATTTCTTGTCGGGTTCGTCAAACGGTAGGCGATTATATAAACTGCGCACTAGATTTGGTTTTTGGAATATGGGGCCACTGCCCAATATAGAACGGCTGGCTTTGCCACGGGCAATGTGGCTTGAAGGGTTTCTTTTGTTTTCTATCATTGTTTTGTTGGTCACCCTCTGTTTTCAGAGGCATCTTCATTGGATACCATAGCCGCTGTTTTTTTTTGTTGACCTTGCGTGTTCGCTTCTATGATTTTTACCTGTTTCCATTGTCATGTCTTGCATTTACGTCTCCAATATAAATAACATAAAATTAAATAATTAAAGGCCCGAGGCAATGTTCTTGGTGCTCTCATAGACGTTCGTGTCCGTCATCCATATCGCTCCGCAAAGTCCAGAATGTCGTCCATTTGCAACACCTCGAGCGCGTCAGTCGTGGGCAGCGCCAGGGCTGTCTCGACCGGCCTGGAACGTACCGCTATGCATACCATGTAGTCCACGCCGACGCTGCGCAAGCACACGTTGACTTGGTCGCCGACGGCCGCACCGCGGAACTGGACGTCATGCTTTGTCACCATGTCGCCCTGGAAAAGAGGACCTTTTGCTGGGCCAGGAGCTTTGGGAACTTGAAACGCATTGAACTCGAGTTCGGCGAGCCATTCTGCCAGGAGAGCCTCGCCGGTCATCTTGACATAGGCTTCACGCAGGCACCACAACGCATAAAACGCCCGCAGCAGTTCGTCGTCGTCACGGGTTGCCAGATTCTCGAGGAAGCGCACTTCGCTGCGCGCGAGGACGTCGGCGTGCACATCCACAAAATGCGGCCAGCCGGAGGACGGGGACGTGGCATTTGCGTCGGCAATCATTTGCAAATCACGCGTGCGGCGCTCCGTCGGCGACACCACATCAATGCCCACGTCAATGCCCCCCAGGTCGTCACCACCGAACACAGCAACCAGCACCACAAGGCCGGCCTGGTGGCTGACGTTGAAGACGACTGGCTGCGCTTTGCTGCTGGGGTCAACATAGTAGACTGGCTTTCCGTGCGTGCCCCGAGAGAGGACCGTCTTACGCCACGGAACAGGCGCACGGCCGTCGGCATGGCCACAACGAGCCACGACCAGGTGCTTGAGCAGCTGCGATACCAACGCCATCTTGGCGTCCCGCACGTGGAAGTACTTGAGCACGCCGGCGCGCTCTTCATCAGTCAAGAGAGCCTCAAGTGCTCGGGAGGCCTTGTCTGTTAGCTGACGTGGAAAACAAAGAAGGGAACGAGTGGGCGTCGTACGACAGTCGCCAGCTGGCGAGTTTGTGTGGCTTCAGGCCAGAGTGTGCGAGTGTCAACAATCCATTGTACGAGAACCGGCCGAGAAGAAGGAGCGAGAGTCTCCATAGGGAAGCAGGTAGATAGGGGGTGGGATATCGTAAAAGGAAGGCACGCGCCACCAGGGTAAGTGAGGTAGGAGCGACTGGAGACTATCGTGGGTCGCTTTTCACTCCAAGTAGAGTTGGTCATGCCATGATCCAAGCACAAATTCGCGTAATTTGTGTCCAAATGAGAAACTAAGAGGGCCTACGTGAGAAACAAAGATTGATAGCGAAAGTATGACACTCGGTTGCTGAGATAGATGTGGTGAAACTGTTTGTTGGTACGGGCCAAGCCGCGTGGTTGTGTTGCCAACAAAACAGATTACGTAATCTCAGTGAATCAATGGCTCCCCATAGACACACGGGTCCCGTGTGTCTAATTTTTTATTATGTAATATGAACACGGCTTCTGATTGGTCCACAAGAGCGTGTCAATAAAAAACCTTATGTAATCGCAAAACATCGCCAGCATCGCCAAAAGCATCGCCAAAAGCATCGCCAACAGCATCGCCAACGACCATGGCCTCCCACCCTCCTCCCGACCCTCCTCCCGCCCTCCCTCCTGAAGATCTATACGAGTCACGAGAAGCCCTCCTACTGTCGATCAACGCCTGGGCGGCTTCGCACGGTTGTGCTTTTGTTACGGGGCGTTCAATAAAATATAAATTAAATAAAAGAGTAGTGACGTACGCCTATGATCGATCTGGGAGAGCGGTGGACCACGGCACCGACGGCGGCGTACACGGACCTCCCGTAAATCGACGGCCCGTACACCGCGTACTCGGAGGACTCGTTTTGGACGAACTTCACGGGCCGCCGCCGCAGAGGCTCAAGCGGAGGTGCAGGCTGCAATGGCACATGCGGAGCGAGTAGATGCAAGGCTACAGAGCATTCGTGAAAGGATTCAGCCATTGGATTAGGGTATTCGGAGGGCACATAATTTATTTGGTGGTTTATACTACGTTTTATTTACTTTTGGCGATGCTTTTGGCGATGCTTTTGGCGATGCTTTTGGCGATGCTTTTGGCGATGTTTTGCGATTACATAAGGTTTTTTATTGACACGCTCTTGCGGGCCAATCAGAGGCCGTATTTCATATTACATAATATTTGCTTAGGCGCACGGGACCCGTGTGTCTATGGGGAGCCGAATCAATACAATCCATGTCCGCGAATATTGGTCTTGTTGGAAGGTCCTTTTGTCTCGCATTCATTTATTCCAACTATGTGAAAATCTTCAATATTCATTTTATTTTGTTTTAGAAGTATTTAAGACGGCCAGCATCTATCCTCGCTTTCTATTCGAAAGACCTCTTCTATCGCGGCATGGTATCTAAAGCCCCTCAAATGTCCATCTCGAAAAAGTCCGACTCGGGTGGCGCACGGATGGCAAACACAAAGATATCCCGTCCGGTCTCGTTGTCGTTCTCATTCTCGTTCTCCTTCTTCTTCTGGTCATCCTTGCCATCCGTCTTCTTGTCCTTCTTTTCGTCCTTCGTCTCGTCGGCCTTGATCGGCTTTCCATCCGCATCCACCTCGACAACCACGTCCTTGGTGTCCTGCGAGTCGTCCTCTGTGTACGCCCACATCCCCTTCAGGTCGCCCGTCACGGCCGCCCGGCCCCACGTTGCCACTAGAAGCGCAGGGACCAGGTAGAAGAGCGCGGGTTGTCCCTTGCGCGTGATAAGCATAGCGGCCATGGCCGCCATCAGTCCAATGACGTAGGCGACCATTGAGGCGTAAAAGTAGGGCTTGGAAAACCGCGCAGCCGCCAGTCCGGCCGTTGTTACTGCCGTGGCGGCGCCGGACGTCCACAGTCGATCGCCCCAACGGCCCTGGGGATCAATGTACTGGGGCTTCACTTCGCGGGTGGCTGTGGTCGTCTTTGTCGTAGTCGCTTTATCCTCGTCCGTCGCCAAATTGGCCACCTCCGCCGTAAGAGTTGTGTCCACGTGCTTGATCTGCCGTGCGTAGTGGCGGTACAGGTCGTAGCGAAGGCACAGGCACATGTAGATGCCTGGTACCACAATGTCACCCAGTCCCAACATGCCTGTCTGCGGGCCCGACCCGGCCACGATCTTGATAGGAGCGTCAACTTGGGTGGCCACGGCCACCATGAACGGCGTGTAGAACACCATGACGACATCGTACACAAAGAGGCCGATCAGCACCGTCGAGCCGATTGCAAACGACGTGCCCGACACCAGCTGTAGCGACAAGTAACTCATACCGAGGCCCATAATGTTGTTCAGCAGCGAGGGGAAGAGTCCGACGAAGTAGTACAGGTACGCTGTCAGGCCGGCCAGTGCCATGCCAATGAGAGCGTGAATCGTCAAGCCCTCGATTTCCTCTTCGCCAACGCCGCGCAACGACATATGGATCGACCACGATTCGCGGACAAGGCGACGGAAAGCCCACGAGGCAGATGTCACGCGAGCCGCGGATGATGCCGGAAGCCAAGAAATGGGCGCCGCCAGCATGTCGGGGAATGGCGTCGTCCGAGACGGATCCAGCTCCCAAGCACTGGTATCGTTCGCTGCTCTGGGAGCGTCCGATGCTGTCGCTTTCTGCACCCACTGCGCGCGCTTGCTGCCGTCCACCCGGTGCAAGTGCCCATCACGGCGCGATGTCCACACGTTGGGGAAGACAAGAGATGAGGCCAAGCTTAGGCCGCCGCCCAGGAACGCGCCTACGCTTGCCACAGCGATCAGCGACGTGTATGCGCGCAGTATGCGGTTGAGAAGCGCCGGATCCTGCATGTACTGGATCAGGTAGTAGAAGCCGATGAGAGCCGCGGCCGCGAAAAAAAGGCATCAGAAGCGCGTCCTTCAGCTGGATGCTCTCCTTGGCGACATCGGCCGTGCGCTTCCTTTTCTTCGTCGTGCCTTTGCCGTCACCGTCAGCCTTGTCGCTCTCGTCGTCCCGAGGCGCCGCAGAGTGTGGCCGAGACAGCGAGGCGTGGGCGCCCAGGTAGATGACACCGAGGGCGAGGCCGAGGATGCGTGCCTCCATAATAAACATGTGGCGGTAGGCATACAGAAGCTGTGCAAAGGTTGACGGGTCCGACAGAGAAAAGGCCGCGCGCGCTGCTGCCATGGGTGTCATATTACTGGCCGCCAAGTTGTCTGTGATGTTGGCTGTGATGTTGGCCAGGGCGTCGCCGGCGAGCGTGCCGTTCAGGGCAAGCTCGTCCATCGTCGTGGGAGAGGTGCCTGTAGGTTCGGGTTTTACTCTCGTTTCTATCACCAATGTCGCTTCTGTCGCATCTGACCTTTTCTGTATTGTAGATTGGTAATAATATCGGTAGTAGTAAATACTTGGGTGACAAAATGATGTAAACGAAGGTTGTGACTTGAGTATAGTTTTAGCTGTCCTACATATGTGGCCGCCTTTAACAGGGCTGTTCATAGTGCAGTTGCACACTAAAAGTGGGCCACTGGTACAGGCGCCAGTTAGATTCACCAATGATGCTTAGTCATATTGACTACGATCTATTCTGTACCTTGGACCTTCATCAGTTCTAAGCTTTCCAAGCACAACGTCTCACCAGCGTCAACGAAAAGAAGCACCTCTGCTACTTGACATTTAGAATCTCACAAGGTGTACAGATCTTATTGTATCGGCACTTTTTATCATAATTTACACTCCGCCAGAATCCCGCTCCCATTACTCAAATATTCCTTTAGCACGAGGAACACAGCACAACTTTACACAAGTCAAAACAGCTCTCATACCACTCACCATCATGGCTACAACAGTGGCGCTTGATACTAGCATGGTAGGTTAATCATTCAGTCCTCTACCCACTACGTCGTAGCTCCCCTTGCTCACACGTCGCAGGGCACCATCACAGTCGAGCTCTACACAGAACACGCGCCTCGCACGTGCCGCAACTTTGCAACGCTCGCGGAGCGCGGCTACTACGACGGCACGGTGTTCCACCGCGTCATTGCCGACTTTATGGTGCAGGGTGGTGACCCGACGGGGACCGGTCGCGGGGGCGAGAGCATCTACGGAGCCAAGTTTGAGGACGAGATCGCGCCGGCTTCGAGCAAGCTGCAGCTGAAACACACAGGGGCAGGCGTTTTGAGCATGGCGAACGCGGGGCCGAACACGAACGGAAGTCAGTTTTTCCTCACGCTGGCGCCGACGCCGTGGCTGGACGGCAAGCACACAATTTTTGGGCGGGTGCAATCAGGAATGGGTGTGCTCCGGCGGATGGGGCAGGTCGCGACGGATGCTGAGGACCGGCCGCGGGAAACGCTGCAGTTGAAGAAGGCGCGAGTGACCAAGCCGGAGGAGGAGTAGGTGCAAGGGAAAGGGTGAGGTTTTCTTATGTAGCAGGACAAGAAGGATATACGTGTATATATATGGTTGAAAACCAGTCGTATTAATGATTGATAAGAAACTCGATACAAGACTGCCAAAGACTTGGTACTCGTGCTGAAAACCCAAAGCTCAAGATTCAAAAAATACCAGAAAAAATAACACAAAAACGCCGGACCGTTTCACGGTCGCTATACGATGCCACCCTTTTAATTCTCCTGGCAATGAGAAGATATATGGAAAATGTGGTGAAGAGCAGGAAAGCAGAAGAGAGAGGGCATGAAAAGTAGGCCAACACCCAGCTGTTGTTTGTAATTCGGCAGGCCATGATATGCAAAGAAAGCAACGCAAAGAATCCCGTCCTTAAGCCAGCACATCCGGCGTAAGCCTTGATGAATGATAGCAGGAGAAGAACGTATAGAAAGGCGGATAGAAATAGACAAAAAGTACTAGAAGGTCAACAAGATGGCCCAGCCTAAGCAGGTGGAAGTCACCTGTAGAGGCCACGAGCATGAAAGAAAAGAAAAAAAAAAAAGGAAACGGCACGCCTCGCAGCAGCCTGACGCCCCTAGCCGGTTACTTCCAACCTGGATGCAGGCGTCCTGTAGTACGCACTAAACAAGGAAATCATACGTAGGCTGGTCCGTGTTCCGGCCAACGAAAGACGACAGAAATAGGACACAGAAAGTGTATATGACCGGCCTAGCCCCTCGGCGACGACATGGTGCCGGACGACTCGGAGCCGGCATCCAGGTCGCGCACCCCACCGCCGCTGCCATTCTTGGATGCGGGCGGCGAAAGAGGCGTCGCCTTGCTGTTGATACCGCTGCCCAAGCTCCCACCACCGACGAGTTTGACCTTTTTGTTGCCTGGTATTGGGGGTACGGGGACCTTGGTGGTCTTCTTGGGGGGCGATGAGGTGGGTGTGGACGAGGCCGATGGAGGCCCTTCGACCAGCTTCTTCTTTTTCTTCAACTTGCCATTGGCCCCAAGTGAAAAAGCGCCCATCGTGGCACCGTTGCTCCTGCCCCCGTGGCCATTGGGTTTAAAGCTGCGACGAACATCGTCGTCGTCGTCGTCGTCGTCATCGCCGCTCAGACGCCCGCGGCCAAAATCGTCGTCGTCGACATAGTCACGATCGTGATCGCCATTGTCACCATTATCGCCGTCGTCACCGTCGTCTTCGTCGTCGTCGTCATCATCATAGTTGTCATCAATCTTGCGCTCAAAGCTGAGAGCCGAGCTCGGCTTGGCCTTTTGCTTCTTGACAGGGCCAGCAGCGGAGCCGGCAGGGGCAGGCGACCCAGGTGCATTCTTCATCTTGAGCGTCAACTTCTTGTTCAAGGCGGCAGACAGCCCCTGGCTCGACGAGACGGAGGGCGTGGCGCTGCCGGAGCCACCAGCTTGGGACGCAGCGGCGGAGACAGAAGCGGACGACTTGAACTTCTTTTTGGGCTTGGCGGTGCTCTGGCTGCCGCTGCCGCCCGCCATGTCAGATTCATCATAGTTTCCGCCGCCGTTGTCGTCGTCAAAGTCGTCGGCGTCGCGTTTCCGCGGACTGCCCTGAGAGCTGGGCATGGGGGTGCCCTTTTGACTCGAAGGCGGTGTATTGTCCGTCGCACCGTTGCCACCATTGGATATCTTGGCGGCAGCGGCCCGGCTCGCGTTGCGGCCGCTGTTACCAATGCACGAGCCCATGTGATTGTTCAGGCGTGACACAAGAATGCACCGCTTACACTTGCTGCAGGTGGCCGAAGGAAAGGACAGGACATTGGGTGGTCGTTGCTCGCCCGTGCCGTTGGCGCTCCCCGGTTTGCCGTCGTCGCCGTCAAAGCCGGTGGTGGCGGCGTGGATGGCGGCCGAGACCTTCTTGTCAAAGTCCTTCTTCTTCTTGCCGCGCCCGGGACCGGGCGCCACCCACATCTGGCCGTAAATATCACATCCGGGTTTGTCAATGTATGGATGCTTTTTGCAGTAGGTAACGTTGGGGTCGGGCTTGTGAGCGCCGCGGCCGTCGGTGGGGTACAGCAGACGTGGCAGATGGCAGCGCGGACAAAGAATGTCGGTAGTGGTTTTGAGAGGATTGGCCTTGAGGGTGACTTGGCCGCTCTCGTACAGGGCGGCGTCGGTCTCATGGTGGCCTTCGGATTTTGACTCGCCGGTGGCACCGGCTAGGTCCTGAGCGGCCTCAGCAGCCAGGGTTTCAACACGAATAGCAGCCGTGGCAGCACGGGCTTGCTTCTCGTCCCGATGGGTTTTCATAATCAGATCGTGTATCACGTTGTAGAGCAGGTCGTCGAGGATGGCGCTGGCCAGCTTGTCCATGCCGTTGCCATCGGTGGGGGCAGTGACGACACCGGCCCGGCCGGTGTCGTTTCCAGACATGGTGCCCGGTGGATTGTTGCCAGATCAAGAGGGAGCAGTCCAACTGGGCCACTCGCGAGAGCCTGTATTATTGTCGGTGGTATTTCTCAACTTGCATGAATAAACGTGGTCCTGCTATCGGCTGTTTGCGGTTTTGCTGTCGGACAAAGCAAAGGGGAGCTCGAGTCGGACAGTACGTCGAAGGCTGCGCGATAGTAGGAGGAGGGGGGTGTTCAGGTGGTGGTGTTGTGAGGATTTGCGGGAACGTTTCGGTTGTTACGCAGGTCGGAGGCTACGAACGAATTAGCCGGCGATGGGATTTGTGAGCAAATGGTGAGAAATCGGGCAACGGCAGTGGAGTGGCCGTTGACGGTGATGGAGCGGCAGGTATTTCCCCGAGTGCCGAATTGAGTGGGCAAAATAATAAACAACTGGCGTGTGACGATGGGTAGCTGTCGAGGTCAAGGTAACGATAGAGATGAGGATAAGGTTAAAGGGTCGAAGGTTGACGTCGAGATGGGCTAGGCAAAACCATTGCAGAAGCTACAGTCAAGATAGTTGCTCGTAGTGCAATCGGTTCGTGGACAAGGTTTTTCGGCGGGCCACAAAACGGCGAGAGTGGCCGGGTTTGGAGGCAAACGAGGTTGGTTCCGGTATGCTGTCGAGAATTTGCTAAAGGTGTGAATTCGTGAGATTTTGTGCGATCTTCGTGATGGGGGAATTTCGAGATCGGATATGGTGCGAAACAGGGACACGACAGGCAGGAATGCCCAAGCGCAGCAAGGGATGGTTCGACAGGGAAAGAGTGCTGGGGTGCTTTGGCCGGGCCTTGCGGCGGCACGGCCGAGGGGCCTAATGGTCTTTAGGCGTATCAATTTATCAGTTCTATTACAGTGGACAACAGGCCAGTAAAGGCCACTTTTGCGCCTGCGGAAACGACGTGGAAGCACGGTTCAGTAGCCCCTGAAACAGCAAATTCAGCAGAGTCTGGCAGTGGCAAGGCCCACATATACGCCGCCGCAGACCACTAAGCTGCAGGCACGACCTTCAACTTAGTTCCGACGTAAATGTATAGAGACTGAGAATGGTCTGAAATGAATCTATGAAGAAATATGTTTGTAAGCTATATGACACTTTTGTCGATGTGCATCGACTCTAGGTAGGTCATGTTGCTCTATCCAGCACATTTCCTGCTACATCTCTACAGCAAAAGAGACATGAACTCATATCTTCGGCTCCGTATCATTAAAGTTGTTTTTCGGCTCATGTCCAAGACTTTTTTTTTTAAAAAAAAAAAAAAATAGTCCCTTTCTACGGGCATATTCCTTGATCATGTCTTCCTTTACCGAAAGGGGCGCTAGGGATTAGGGGGCAAGGCACGGGCGCAAAAGCTTTGGCGCGACGTGGTTCACATGTTTCTTGCCCCATACGAGAAATTACAGTGGGCATGCAGGCGCTAGCATATGTCATCCACGAGGAAGAGCTTCTCATCTGCAGGTGCAGCTGCCAGTCTACACACAGACATGTGGTTGACAACACGATACGCCGTGCGCACCGACACACAACCGTAGTTAGTATCATACACTGTCCTGTGGGCCACGGCCAGAGTTGTCATTGCGTCTTAGCAGACAGCCTCAGCTTCCTGAACAGCAGATGTGTTAATTACGGAGTAGGTTTCAAAACAACACTTGAGGAGCCCGCGTTATGTCGTTACGTTGTCTACCGAATAGTAAAATACTTCGTATGGTCGTGTGAGTGCCATTGGTGGCAAAAGACGCTGCACAACTTGCACAACTGTAACTGAACGTGCAAGAGACTTGTCGCGTGTCGCCTTTCTCCCAAAATAGAAAATGCAAGGTGCGATTCTCAACGTGAAAAGCGGTCACGTGAGCACTTGGCATACATCTTGGATCAAAAGCGCTGAGAGCGGAGGACAACGAAGGAAGACGAAAGCTGAAAGGTGATGAAAAGATGCAACGAGAATAGCAAAGCCCAAAATAATAGATTTCAGCAAGAACTTATCTGGACACGGTACAGTTATGCTATCCTCGTGCCGTCCATATGGCATAGCAATCATCGCTGGAGATGCTCTGCGCCTGCTGTGAGGCTCTAAGGGTGCCTTCCCAAGATGTCGTAATCGCCCAACTAAGCAATCGCGCTTCCATTTTATGTCGTATTGCCAATTGAGATTGTTCAACGACTGGTTGACGTACGAGGGCAGTGACACGTTACAAAGGTGTTTTGGCCGTGGCTGCCAGTCAGTAGCGCCGGTCTATTAATTGAATGTCTCCAGTTACGACATGTTATTAGTCCGGCTGTGGTTGGCTGACTGTAGTACAAGAATCAGAAGGTGCGATTGAAATAGGTGCTGAATTAGCCAAAGGTCGCCAGGCCTAGACCACCCAAATGCCAGCCCATTTAGCACGTCGCGTTACCGAAACACGCTCCCACTCTGCCATCCCACGTATTTCAATTAGTAGGCGATCTAGTGCCACCAATGTCGACAGCCTCGAAAACCCCACGTCGCGATAATTGACAACAGTGTTTGTTTACCGCTTGGGCATGACCTTTGTGTGAAGCCTCTTTTTTTCCCTTTGCTGCCTCTCACCTTTATATACTCCCATTCAGCTTCATCTCCGCCGCACCCCCACCATGCCGCCGAACCAGCGCTCCATCCTCTCCTTTTTTGGCTCGTCCTCCTCAAATGAGCTTCCCAAACCTCAGCCTCAAGCTCAACCACAGCTCCAGCCCACGCCAGCCTCTTCACATTCACTACCGCAGCCCCAGTTCCAGCCGAGGCCACCACCTCCGAGCTCCAGTCGTTTTGTTCCGCCGCCCTCCGCACGAAATGGCAATGGCTACACCCCACCGCCCAACATGGCCGCCATGCGTTCCGGCGGCAGCCCCGAGCACCAAGTGAAGCTGGCCCCCATTACCCCGGCCTATGGCCGCAGTATCCTCCAAAACGCGGGGGCTACCGACCTCGGCGATGGAAACATTGGCTTCGCCTCCTCCTATCCCTCCAACAAAATCGTCTTCCCCCGCGATATCCACATACCCGACCTCGTCAGCGTCAACGCCATCCTGCTGCCCGTGCGTTACCCGGACTCCTTTTACAAGTTCGTCACTGACACCTCGCGGCTGGCGTCGCTCTTCAACCGCATCGTTCTCGGCGACGATGGGAAAGTGGTGGGTGGCATCGTGTGCCTGCTGGAGCCCAGCCCGTTCGCCAAAGGACGCGACGCTGCTGCAACCGGCGCCTCTACCGGCCTCGCCGTCTACGTGCGGTCACTCGGCCTGCTCTCGCCCTACCGCGGCCGCGGACTCATGACTGCTGCCATGGACAGCATTGTTGCCACCGCCCAGGCCCTCAACCAGCGCGCCGCCGTTCCGGGCGGCCCGCTGGCCTCGACAGGGCCTGTCCAATCCGTCTTTGCCCATGTCTGGACTGAGCACGACGACGCCGTGGCCTGGTACGCCGCGCGAAAGTTCGTCCGCGAGGGCGACGCGCCCATCGAGAACTACTACTTTGCTCTGCGGCCGGCCACTGCCTGGCTCGTGCGGCGGGACGTGCCGGATACTGCCACCTCCGGCGACGTGTCGGGCGATGCCTCCGTGGCCCAGCTCGTGCGCGAGTCCACACAGCGCGCAAAGATAGCAGCGTCTGCCGCTCAGGCCACCCCTCCTCCACCCCAGCCACCGCTTCCTCCTCCAAACGGTCGCTCGCAGTCCTACCAGAACAGCCGCCCCGAGACCGAGTGGAACGACCTGCCGGCCGACATGATGGGATCGGGGCCGTCCACGAATGCATCAACCTCGGCTTCCGTTGCTTCGTCGCGCAACCCGTCGCGGAAAGTGTCGCAAAACAACCTGGCCGATAGAACGACGGCGTCAACAACAACTACCGCCGCCGCCGAAAACGGTGACAGCCTACTGCCGTCTGGCACGTCTGCACTGCTGGCCCCACCGCCTGCCAGTGGGTCACAAGCGTCCTCAAGAAGCAGCAGCTCAACTGGGCGAAAGAAGCGCGAACGGGCCTATCCAGCAGCGATGTTCCAGTAGGAGAGGAGAGACGAACAGGAGAATGGATACTAGTCTGGCGTTCGGATCCAAATTTGACTTGGGAGACAATGAACAATATGTACGGAGTACAACGCATCGACATCTTTTTCCGTACAACGCATCGACATCTTTTTGAGGTGGTCCATCTGAAGCCCAAAAGCTATAGACAACACAACATATACACTTAATACTTTGGAAGAACAGGTGGTAATGTGGTGGTGATGAACGAAAGAATGAAATGATGAACTTATATACTGTCATGGCGATGTGGATGTAAGCAACAACGACTTAAATAAAAATAAAAAATAGTATGGCCGCAATAAAAATGCTCCTGCTAATAAAAACCGACTCCTTTGTTGTCTCCTCTAAACATGGTGCCTTTTTTGTTTTCGTCAACCCAAGATTATGCGTCAATGGCCTCCTCGTTGGGTGTGGTCAACTCGGGCGCCTCGTTGACCGCCGACAGCTGCCGTCCCGAGTTCTGCAGGAGTGCCTCGTCGCGCACTTGCTTCAGCGACTCCGCCGCCGTCGGCTGCTTCTTCTCCATCGACGCCGCTACCAGCGCAATCAGCGCCGCACCCACGCCGGATCCGTCCTTGGCAATTCCAATCCGGATCCGCTCAGCGCCCTTCTCGCCAATCCCATCAATCACCTTGAGCGCATCGTAGATCATCGTGCGGAAGTGCGGGTAGTGCTCGACCAGGCTGCCGTCCACGCCAATGTCAATCGGCTCACCACCGTAAGTAGGATCCGCCAGTAGGCCCGACTGCAGCACAATACCACCCACCGCCACCGCCGAAAGCCGCGCCGCACGACGGCCGATTGCATCCGCAATCGCCTTAACCGCCTGCGCATCCTCCATGGATGGCGAGTACACGTCCAGTTGCGCATCGAGCTCCTGTCGAAGCGTGCCCAGGTCCGGCGTGTTGTCCAGCGCCGCCACCGACATGATCGCACTG